AGTTTCATATAGACTGTAATCTGATTATCAGCAGTGTGCATGCTGAGTTCCAATGTGCCTTCATCATTATATCTGATAGTCATTATTTCTGGGCCTTAGAATGAAAATAGGTGAGGTATTGTACAAGTGACTATAGATACTTTTTCATTTTATACACATACTAGAGACCCAGTATGTGAAATTGCGTGAAACCCCAGACCCACTATGCTGGGAGAATCCCAGACCCAGCATGCTGGCTGGGTCCCAGACCTGCCATGCCACTGTGAGCTGGGCCCCAGTGTCCACTGCAGGGGCGGGACCCCAGACCCAACTCATGAGGCAGGACCATCAATGCACCTCTTTGGTAATTGGTTTTCAGTTGTTATGGCATTGCAGCCAGGGGATTTTTATATATATAGATATATGATATATATATTTTGTTGCTGTTTGCAACATGAAGTTAAAATTAATATTTTAGATTAAAAGGAAAAGGGAATATTTATATTTTATGTATATTACTGTTTTATTTATTCAAAAGTGATCATAATATGCTAATACATTAATATACTAATTTACTTTTTGAGGGCATCCACTATTCTTTTATCCATTCGTTTTGCTACATATAATATGGGTACTACATTCACAGTTTTGAAACAAATCTTTACCTTATTTAAAGTTTTCATTGTTCAATATTCTGGGTTGCATTGTTCAAAAGCAACCAAGAAAACAATTTACCTGTGAGTTTTTATGGGTCATATGTTCCTGTGAGCCCTAAGTACCATATATCCAGTCATGACATGAAGGACTGTCCTCTTTATAAATGCATCCAGAAAACAATTAACTTTGCAGTTTTTCCAATTTGCCTTTTAGCCACTTTACCTAAGTTGCTTTCAGAAGCCCACTGAGGACTTGTTTTCAGTATCGTTTGAGCCTGGCAGGCACAGGAGGAACGCGTTTGGACAAGTAGATGCTCCTCCCCTAAAGGACTGCGGTAGGCCCTGCAGTGCCTGAGCCCAGAGACAGCTTGTGCCCTGCACCCTTTTTTTTTGGATCTCTTCAGACCTGTGGCCTGAGAGTCACATAGCTAAGTGCTCAGGTTGTACTAACTTCCAAGTAACCTCCTGTTACCATTTTTCTTTCTTCAGCTGGATTATAAACACTTTTATCATGCAAGGAGCTTAGCATTATTTTGTTTCTGCTGCTTTCTTTTAATACTGCCTTCTTCTTTGGAAGTAACCAGGATCTTTATATATTTAGCATAGGGTGCCCTCCAGAATAATGGATTTGAAGAGGGTTTATTTCTACTCCATGTCCTTAGCCGAAAGCCAATAATATCTGCAACCTAAGCCCACAGGCACACCTTCCCCTGGCAGCTGAAATGTCTATGTTTCTATCTTATTAGGCACAACAGCAGCTATATTAATAAGAGTGAAAGTTCAGCAAATACTGGCTAATTGTATTGTTTGGGACTATTCTAAATTCAGTTATATTTAATTTATTAAAAGGACACTGGATTCAAATTGCAGATCTTTGAGTTAGTGGGGCAGATTCCCTAACCTCTCCATGCCTCAGTTTCCTATTTTCTAAAGCACTCATCATGGGATCTATTTGAGGATCAACTGAAGTATCACCATAGTATTATCTCACTCAGTCCTTTTAAATCTTTCATTGGAGCTTGGCATGTGGTAAAAAGTCAATAGCTAGATGCTACCTGAGTGGTAGTAAGAATTAGTAACACCCTTTCAAAGGAACAGCAGACATGTGCTACCTGTTGCCTGAGTACTGGAGCTGGCCCAGGTTCACACAGTGTGTGAGGGGGCAGAGCCAGGTTGGCATGCAGCTCCCTAAGTGCTCTTCTCTCCTGTTGCTGCACAAGTGGTGTTCAGTTCAGATGCAATTATTACCTCCGTGTCCTTTGGGAAAACTAGGAAATCAAGGAGCTCCAACCTGACTGCAGTGTAATGACTCCAGACAACTGTTTGTTTGCTGTAGCCAAGTGGTGCCGTGAGTAAATCACAAATGTTTCCAATTTTACCTGTTACACTACCTACACTAATGGTCACTACCAGCACACAGTGAGTTTACTCAGAGCTTTAAAAAGTCATGACTGAGAGCATGCTTGATGCAGGTAGACATGCTTCCAAGTCAGAGCCCTGCTTCGTACTTGTGTACCACGAAAGCCTTAGTTTGCTCAGCTGTAAAATAGTGCTAACAGCAGTACACACCTTAAAGTTGTGTGAGGGCTTGCAATATAAATAAATAAATAAATAAATAAATAAATGTGTGTGTGTGTGTGTGTGTGTGTTAAAATATTCAGTAAACGTGGACATGTATTAAAACTATAAAATGTGTGTTAGTGGTTGTTGCTTTAATACGTTAGAAAAAGTCACTTAAGTAATTCGCAGAAATTAGTATTAGAAATTGCCTTTCCCAGCCAGCATGGCTCAGTGGTAGAGTGTCAAACTATGAACCAGGAGGTCGTGGTTTGATTTCTATTGGGGCACATGCCCAGGTTGCAGGCTGGATCCCCAGTGTGGACATGCAGGAGGGAGCTGATCAACGGCGCTCTCTCTCTCTCTCTCTCTCTCTCTCTCTCTCTCTCTCTCTCTCTCAATCTCTACTCTTTCCTCTTGGAAATCAATAAAATTGTCTTATAAGAGAAACTGAGAAACTCGCTGGTATGAATAACTTAATGGCTGTTTACACCAAGTGAAACTTAACCATTGCTCTTCTTCAAATGCATTTTAGTGTATATTTTTTTTATGTATAGTTAGTAAGAGTATCAATGACAGATCAAAATATGCTAATTAGGTATAAGATGGAGAACAAAAGTTCTCTTCTGCCCATATTTGCCATATAAAGAGGTAGAAAGTTTGGAAATTCTGTCAGATAGGAGCCTGTTTTTAACCACGCCTGGAGCAGGGTTTGAGTCTTGCTTCTTGTTCATTTTGATGTCTTTCATGTGACTCATCCTCTTCCTTTTTACCACATGGTCATGGTTGCCTCTGCTCTCCCCGCTCTGCCTCAGATGTTCACAGTTGTAGGAACTGCAATTGGCCCTTGTATTAGTATTAATGTAAAGCTTTCCATCTTGCAATGGGAGAATCTGCAACCTAAAGAGTTTGAAACTTGATCGTCATGCAACTGGATGGTGACAAAAGGGAGGACCAGTTCTCACCAACTTTGCCATTGTCCTCTCAGCATGCCTGTGTTTGGTTCAAGCCTTGGGTTCTTGATAATATCCCCTGAGGGCCTCTAATGACCATTGAATCTAAGTCTTCCACTTTAATGTGAGGGAAGGCAGTGAGTTCTTAGGGAAGTAAGCCGCTTGCCCAAGTCACCCTGATCACTTTTGGCACAGTCAGCAGCAAACAAACCCTGGTCATTTTGTTTTCTGCCCCAAACTAAACTACTGCTCCATGCCTGTGAGGGTTGTCTGCCCTGGGGACTGTGGGTGATTTCAGCTTATTATGTTTACCTCATTTCTGTCCTGCCTTCAGAGCATGCTTTTTTGGGGATGTGGAAGGAGTATCATGGTTCTCCTAATTTTTCTTAGTTTGAAGGCATATATTAAATAACAAATGGCATTCTTATCTCCCCTATCTTAAATTTTGGTGGCATTTTCTCATAGTATAGTATGAAATATTACACTATGTTAAATCATTAGATATCAGGAAGGAAGAAAAGTAGGCAGGCTGAAGAGCACAGACATCACTAACCTAAATAAAACACATCACTCTCATTTAGCCTTCCTTCTCCCACCCAGATCTCAACGCACTGAGCCCTCTCAGTATGTTGTCTGTGCCTGGGAAAATTTCTCCTTTTCTCTTCATGAAATAGTTCCTATTTTTTGACTAATTATGCTTTTCCTGTAGGCTACTTTGTTAAGTATGGTATTCAGCAATCTAACTGCTCCTGCAACCCCTTATCTTAGCCCACACTTATACTTGAATTGCTTTTCAAGTAGGTGTTGGAAACAATAGGCTTACCATAGGCTTTTGCTGAAGTACTGAGAGACACATCTACTTGATCCCTAACTGCAAGGAGGAAAGACTGTTAACCTCAAACTGGTAGAAATGAAATATCAGCAGTGTCTGGCTCTTTCCCTGAGCCCTGCTGTATATATGGTAATATAGGAACAAACTATGCTCTTTGTTTTTCTAGTAAGTTGGAATCTTTAATTAGAAAAAAAGTTGTTAAAAATGTTAACATACCTCATATGAAAGTAGATCCAACTTGGAATATGATATAAAAATTCTATAATTGACAAATCTTAACCTAATGCATCAAAAAGTCACTCTGCCATAGACTCACCTATCTTTTAAAGTCCTCTTTATGACTTAGAAAGGGTCAGATCTCCATGTTTGCTTCTTGTTTTCCACAATCAAACAAAAACTTCCCTAATGATTTGAATATAAACCAGAACCAGGCCGTTGCTGAGTTGTTTGTCAGTAGCTGGGCAGTTTTCTCAGTGCCTTTTCTGACATGTTTTAACATGATCTCGTAAGGATTTAAAATGAAAATTGCCCTGTTCTTTCTGGTACAATGAAAAGATTGAGATTCTTTTATCAAAACAAGGTGATCAGAAAAATCACCATTTTCCTTCTGTACTTTTTTTCTAAACATAAAATATGAGTAAAAGATTATGAAACAAATTTAAGTTTTGGGTCTTGATAAACAATTACAAGGCACTTTGGGTTTGTGATAAAAAAAAAATCACTAATAGAAATGATTTCTAGAACATTAAAAGCAGCATGCACACATACACATTGTACATTTTCTGCCTGCCTGCCTGCCTGCCATGTGTCCTTTCTGGTGAAGCTGCGGGAAGGACACATAGAACGCATGTCAAAAAGTGGTGCCTTCTGAAGAGGATTTACACATCGTTCTGTTTGTGTTCCAATTCCCCCGCTTTCTTCAGACCTCAAATTTCAGCCAAGGTGCAATCAGTCTTAATCAGTGCTGCGAACTATCAACCACAGCTTTTCAGACAATTTAAAAAAAAGAAAGTTTTTATTTACCTTTCATTGCGGTAGCTGGTTGTCCTCCATTCACCTGATTCTGGTGTCTTTAAGTTGAAAGGCTTCTCAACTCTAAGTAAAAATACACCTTAAAACTGAGGTTGGCAGGGATGTGGAGTTTTGGGGAAAACATGAAAAAGAAACATGTTGCTCCCTGCCAGAGAAGGAAGGTGCTTCCCAACCCGTGCTGAGATGGTCCTCTGAGCACCTTGCAGAGTCTCCTGTTCAGGAACAACTGGAGCAACTTGCTCTCTTGCTAATGTCAGTCAGTGACTCACATCCAAGAGCAGGTGAGATCTGTAGGCTGGGGCAGAGCAGTTCCTGAACCAGCAGGAATCAGACAGTGAGTCACCTGAAGAAAACGTGGGGAGGTGGGGGGGCTGGGCCTCAGAATGCCAGAGGACTCTCTAAGGAAGAGAGGATGAAGTGTCAGTGGGCCCTACGAAATCAACCAGTGTTTGTTCTTCTGCTTCTCCTCCCACTACCCTTTTTTTTTTTGGAGGGGGAGGATTTCCTATCATTAGTTAGAAAATATGTATTTACAGCCTTCTCGCTAATTTTTGGCTTAAAGGAATAAAAACATACTTTATGAAAGACAAATCATTTAAATATTTTATTCTACATATTATTTAAAGACTAAAATTATAATGTACATATGTTAGTAATTGATAACTTTGGAAATCTGTAGTTTTATGGAAGAATCTGATGAGCTCTGCAGAGCTGTTTTTTTGTTTGTTTGTTTTTTGTTTGTTTGTCTCTTTACAAATTCACAAATATAAATATTTTAAAAATTTAAATAAAGTTACTTAAGGGGTGAGTTCTCTGATGCTTCTGAATTTCATTTTTTGGCGGGGTTGAGGGGGAATCAGTCCTGTCTTTATTACAAAGACTTAGAAAGCGACTATGCCTGATAACTAAAGGGTGAGGTATTGGCCAGAAAGGTGGGGTAGGCTTAGTCCCAGGGGGTTCAGGGCAAACTGATAGATCAGGTCCTAGCAGCGGAGGAGCCTGAGGGTGAGCTTCAGGCACTGGGGTGATTAGCTCATTGTCAGGGGCTGCATGGTACTTGGGTTAGCCTGGAATCTCCCTGAGACCACACTGCCTTGTCTGCCTAGCTCATCTACTGGCCCTAATCCTGTTCATTGCCTTCCATGTCCACCTCATCAACTTTTCCATCACCAGGTGACTCATTGTAGTTCATCTTGTCCATGTCCTGCATGTCCTCTTCATCTTGATCATCATCCTCTGAGTCCTCTTCACTGTCCTCCTTCTCCTCTTCCTCAGCATCATGGTGCTCTGAGGCTGGCCTGACAGTAAGTACTGGGTTGCTGTCTTTTTCTTCAATGCTTTGGAGCCAGGCCTGATGCTGCTGTTCTTGATAAGAAGCTCAGTCTCTTCCACATCAGGTCAGCCCCATTAAAGCCTAGCGCCTTCGTCACTGGGGTAAGAGTGAGGGCTCAAGCTGGACATGGCAGCAGCTGGCAGCACCGGAAGCACTTGAATTTCATTCTTAAACACAAGACAGCTTGTTTTATTATCTTTAAAAATCTTTGCACAGTGATAATTTATATAATCAGATCCTTTTTTCTTTTGTAATTTTAGAACTTTCAGATAAAAGTCTCCAAAGGAGTCCAAGACTTTCTTGAATGTAATATTTGAACAAATGAGTAAAAAATAAAAATACAATTTCATGAAATGGAACCAAAACCTGTTACTATCATGGGTGACAATAAATGAAAATAATAATCAAAGATGGAAACTTTTTTGAAGGTAGTAAATCAATAATAGATTTACGGAGTGTTTATTTATGCCTTAAGGAAATAATGGACTGTGTAGTTGGTTTTATTTCCAAGTTTGTCGGAAAAACAAATGTGCTTGATTTAAATACTAATAGTTGAATGTCAAAATCATGTTACTTCTCTTGCCTTTTCTTAAACAAAAACAATTTCGATTTAACCGTTTTTCATTCCATTCTTTTTAGGGAGGGTTTACTATGTGTGGATGAGTAGCTAGCCTTAAGGAAAGACTCTGAACAAAAATTATCCAGCTTATTTAATATTGACTCTGCTTTGCTCCATGGAGTTTGCTTTTAGCTTCTGAAGCCAATTCATTGTAGACCTTAGTTTGAAAGACTTGTCCTTTTTAGGTTGAACTTTTTGCCACTTGTCACTCTGATTCATACCTGGATTGTGTACTGCTCTTAATGTGAAACCTGAGTGGCAGAACAACAAATGGCCAAGTCTTAAAGGCATCAGTTCAGAAGGAAAGAACATCCCTTATAGCCTCTTTCAAAGAGTGTAGAGCAAAGACCTTCTCTGCAAGTTCTGAAGATTATCACCCCAGATTTCCAGTGGTGTGTACAAAATCACATTAGAGAGCTTATTTGGATAAATATTCCACAAGCTTCTTGTAAAGAAATAAAGGCAGTCTGCTATCCACCTTAAATTTTAATGCATTTATTTCCTGGGTTGACTTGTCCTATTTGGGTCAACTAACTATATACTGATTTTTTTTTATATTAAAGAAAATTCCTGAGTATATCAAGCTGTTGAAAATGTTTTTGATATACTTTCCTATTTTGAATTTGAAGGGAAAATGTTTTAATAATTTAGGAGTATATTTCCTGGTTTTGACATTAAAATAGTCTCTGAAGGGAGGCCAGTGCATGAAGATTATGTTAGGCCTTTCTAAGTTTGAAGAAGGACCTGGAGTTTGAAGATGCACCTTGACTTTCTCTGCATTGTTGTTGTTTTTAAACAAAGATCTCCTCATGGAAGAAGGAAGGGGCAGTAAATTGCCCTCTTTTTCTCTTTCTGAGGGTGGGCTGGAGATGAAATATGCTTTTGCATCATTATTATAACAGTGGGATTGCCGTATTTAAAAGTTGCACACAGTGATGCAAATTAAATGTAGTAATGAAAAAGTTAACATTAGGCGTACCCATTTGTCTTAAAGCATATTATGCCAGTTGGGACTTGCTAAAGCTGGTCTTACTTAACATTCAAAAAGGAAAGTAGAGTACACACTTAGTCACAAAAAAACGTGTAACACTTTAATGAAAAGAGCAGCTAAAAACCAGCCCGTAACTGTATTATTGTTCGATTAACTGAAAGGTTAACTTGAAGATTTTTTCCCCCCTGTTGATTTTTCTTATAGTTAGTCTCTCATTTCATAAGATACCCAGGAGACTTTATAACAATAATTATCTTGTCGTTTTCTTAGACTAGCCTATTAAATCCAGGGAAGCTCTTTTAATGACATTGTTTAGCCATTACAAGCCCCACATTTATTTAGAATAAAGGATGGCATCGTGGGTTGTGTTTGTGCTTCTCTACCACCATCATGCTTTAAAAAAATGTTTATTTTATTTTATTTTATTTTTTTAAATTTATTTTAAAGGGAGAGGGAGAAAGAGATAGAAACATCAATGATGAGAGAGAATCATTGATTGGCTGCCTCCTGCAACCGGTATGTGTCCTGACCAGCAATCAAACCATGACTCCTGGTTCATAAGTTAATGCTCAACCACTGAGCCATGCCAGCCGAGCTATTTTATTCTTTTTATTACAGCTTATTTTTTTCTTCTGATATTTATTGTTAAAGATGTTAAACCTTCACACAAGTGGAAATAATATTTCATGTAGATTTCACCTAGAGTTACAAATGGTTAATGTTTTTCACATATCTGTGCATACACACACACACACACACACACACAAAAAAAAAAAAAACAAAAACATACATTTTGGGGGAACCTTTTAGAAATTGCAGTCATTGTGGTAAATGCCTCACTCCTAATTGCTTTTCCAAATAACAAGGACATTCTTCTACCTAACCACAATACTATTATCAGCCAAGAGGTTAATTTTGAAGTAGTACTATTTTAAAATATTTCCTCTGCATTGAAATTTTACAACTTCCTAGTAAGACCCTTTATAACTTTATTGTTGTGGAATCCAATCACTGGTCACTTATTGCATTTGGTTTTACTGTCTTTTTAGACTTATTTCTTCTTCAGAACAATGTCTCTGCATTTAAAAACACACACAAAACCTTTTTTTAAATCTTCTTGGCTTTTGAAAATTGCTTGGCTCTGTATCGACGAGGTCCATCCTGTGGGTTGTATAGGAAGGGGATTTTTTTTCTGAGACAGTTATCCTGGAGTCACCATTGGGGTTTAGAATTTTGAAGTTCAATAGGAATATCTATAATCTCGTTTTGGGCATAGACCTAGTACATGCATCACTAATCACAAAGTCAGGATATCCAAAGTCACTATTTGGGGGGAAGGGCTATATTGAATGACTCATTCACCTTTTTTTGTTTGTTTGTTTCAGCATGAAACAAGGATTTTAGGTGAGAATCCAAAACCTTACTGATTTTTCAAAGAGACAGAAGCAGCCACTGGTGTGGGTCGGTGCTTGAGTGTTGACCCATGTACCAGGAGGTCACTGGTTCAATTCCCACTTGGGGCATGTGCACGGGTTTTAGGTTCGATCCCCAGTGAGGGGCGTGCTGGAGGTGGCCAGTTGATGTTTCTCTGTCATTGATGAGGAAGACAGAAATACTCAAGTAGAGAATGTATTTCTGAAACTCTTACAAGAAATGAAAATTAAGTTATATTATTGGTAAGTCTTTCTAGATTCTATTGTATAATGAACTCTTTTCCTATTTGCCCCTATTTAGTGGGAAACATTGGTAGATTTATTATCAAGGCTTTCTTTAGTCTTTTAGTCCATGAGGTCTGAAAGGTTGGCGACTGCTGTTCTAGTCATTCCCCTTGAGTGTGACTTCTTCCTCTCTCCTTCCTTCTTTATTGGGCTTCTCTGCATTAACGTGGACCTGGGCTCAATGTCCCCTCCTCAAGTGTTGGTAGGCATAGCATTTGAATCGTCATTTCATTTTCTCTGTTACAATACTCTCAGATGCATTCATTTCTTCTTAAAGGAAAAGATCATATAATGGGCCTCTAAAGCCTCTGTAGCATGCTAATTCTTTATTACAAAACGAAGAAAAACAGGGGTCTCATTGAACCATAGCTCATGATGCTCTGTCTTGGAAGCCCTGTCTTTTGCATGTAGCCAGAACAAATATTGTATTAACAGATCTTACTGTTTCATCTCTCTGCACAAGA